AGAGTGCTGGACACAGAGATGCAGCTGGGAACTGGTGAAAGCAGGCAGCCTGGTGAGCGCCTGGGTGAGGAAGACCTTATCAACTACAGCACTGGGTGCAGAGGGTGGGTGGGCAGGAGGAGACCCCAGAGCAAGCCATGTGCTAGAAAGATGAAGTTAGAAGTGATTTTGGAAGCAGATGAACAGCCAAACCTTTAAATTGAATGTAAAAATTCTTGCTTCGGGAAAGGATTTAAAGCGCTTGGGGCATTTGGATTTTAACTGCAGCAGAGTTTCTCAGCAGCTTTTGATTCTTAGCAAGTAGGAAGTCTGGGGCTCTGGCAGGTGTTTGTGGCTAAAAGTGCAAAGCTGTAGCACGGGCACCCAGTGGCAGCCCTGCTCCAGGGGCCTGTGGCTTCCCCTTCCTGCGTGGCAGTGTGTGGGCACCTTCGGTGTGTTGCTGTGCTATGGACTAGAGCAAGGTCTGAATCTGGAGCCATGGCTGGTTCCCTGACCTGATCTGGGGTCTGTGGAGAAACTGCTGCATGTGCTTGGGCCCACCAGCTGCTCATCATGAGGGGTTAGCAAATAATCCTGCTGCCCATTACATGCTTCTAGAGATGTGCTCCTGGCTGTGTGTGTTTTTAAAAGTGAGTCAAGTAGAGATTCTCTTGATTTCTGTCCACCACGATTAATCTCTTTGAGAGTCTGGTAATATATGATCCAGACAGTATAAAAAAGTTAAGTGGTAGAATTGTTAGGAACCCCCCTCAGTTTGTTACAGGCAGTTCTAGCTCTCCTCCCCTATGACTGACTCAGGACCCCTGACTGGAACCACTTTGGGTATGGGTGTTTCGCAGCATCCACACCAAACCCTTGTCTCCGCTCTTGTCACAGCATGCAGGTTGATTAAATGTGTGGTTCCTCTTTCTTGCAGTGCTGGAAGGATGGCCACCTTCCCTGAAGTCTCTGAGCTTGCCTGAGCTGTCAGCTGTCCTAGAGGAGTGTGTGGGAGAAATGGGTAAGGTCAGGGAGGAATATGGGCACATGAAGTGACTGTTGTGCTGAAAGGGGGGCATGGCTGGACAGGTTTTTCATGATTTGACAGTGGTAGTTTGGGGGGACTTAACAGTCCCCTCTCACTGAGGGAAGTCTCCAGGTTCTAAAGTTGGTGCTGGCATTTCCTTGCACTTGATCTCGCTGCAGATCTTGGGCTCTGCCTCATCCTCTACTGAGAAGAAAGGTATATGTGGCCCCTGCATCTCTCCTGCTCTGTGGTCAGAGCTGCTTGTGAAGTGTTTCCCAAAGCCTGTGCCATGTTCTCTGACGGAAACTTGTCCTAGCAACAGGCAGTCATAGAGTAAAGACGCTCCTGGTTTTGAAACACTGGAAGCTGCAAGGGAAAAGGGAGCCTGGAGGCAGAATAACAGTGGCTGAATGCAAACTGCAACCTGCCCTTTACTGCTTGCTGGCCCACTGCTAACACTGATTTTTATTTTTATTTTCCTTTTGTTTGGTCCTCAGGAAAAGCTCTGCAGACTGTGACTGAAAACCTCCAAAGGCTCCAACCGCCAGGGCAGAGTGGGCAAAGCTGGCTCAATCCATAATAAAGCAGGAGGGTGAGTGGGAGCTAAGGACAGCCAGAGGGCTGTGGCATTGAGGGGAGACATCATTCCTTGCAGCGAGTAACAGCCATCTGCTGAGTGTGCCCAGTGCTCACTCAAAGCCTGCACATTGAGGCTGCGCTTTAACTGATCCTTATGTGCCCTCTGATCGGTTTTCCCTTTGGAAAAGCCTTTACCCCCCCTTGTCTCTGTCCCACTGAAAATGTGTCTGTCCTCTTTTTGTGGCTGTAAGAATACTGACGTCGGGTGACTGTTCCACCCGGAAGCTGAGTGTGCCTGGGAGAGTGAGCGCAAGGACCGTGCTGGCAGCACTGCAGCTCTCCTGGGAGGGCCAAAGCAGCTGGTGGATGTGTGGAAGAAGGTCTCAGCTGCAAGAGAACATGCCTGGGAGGAGGAGCGTCAGCAGGAGACAACAACCCAGCAGCTCTTTGGACCTGACTGTTGTCTGCATTCCCAGGATCATGGTTGCTCATACCAAAAGGTTAAGTTATGAGGAGAAGCACTGAGTCCAGAAGTTTTATCTGCCTTAAGCTTCCTGCAGTCCTTATCATTCAGGACTGTGTAGTGGCAGAAAGCTGAGAGTTACCCACAGCAATCTAATTAACTATCCTTTTCTGCATCCCATCCTCCCCAGGGCCTCTGACACTTGCTGTGCCTCCTTTTATGCCATGTGGATTGGCACAGATAATGCATCATGGCACAGGCCCAGAAAGTGTATTTAAGGCAATAAGGAAGGCAGGTTTGTTGAAGGTGGGTGAAGTGAGTGGTCTGCAAACCTCAAGCAGCAGGGTGTAGCTGGAATATCTGTTCCACTGCCATCCCAGCTGTGTACTTCAAAACCTCTCTATCCAACCAGCTCACCCTGGTTCGGTTCAGATTCTGGCCCTCCTTGGGTTGTTTGTGATCATGTTATTCAGTCCCAAGGAACTCATTTTTGTGGTAAGTGCTTTATGGCAGAGATTCTGCCTGTCTGGTTTGTCAGTGCCAAGATCCCAACACTGACAGTGGTTTCAAGGCAGATGTTCCCCTGGAAGTACATGAGAGAGAACAGAGTTTGAGACTGCTCAGTCTCCTGCTCCTCTGGCAAGCAGCAGAGTGCCAGAGCAGGCAGGATGGGAACTAGGGGATAGATATATCCCACATGGGAGATGAGCAAAAGAAATCATCCCAGGTGCAGTGGTGGTGCAAAGCTTTGTTCCCCAACCACTGCTTGTGTTTGGTTTCCAGGCTTTAGTTTTTGGAAATAGCTCTGCCAAGGCATTCTTGTGCTGGTGTGGGTGATCTCCCAGGACAGGAAAATTTCACCCTGAAGAGCTAGTTTTGGTGAGGTAGAGCCAGTTCTGCTAAGGCAGCATCTTTGAAGGCTGCTCAGAGCATTGAGGCTGTACTGGGAAAGGTATCTTGGGCTTTATCCTCTGTTCCCCCTTGCTGGAGGAATGGTGGAGAGTGCCAAGGCACTTACTGCCCTCTCCCTGATCCTTGGTGCTGTGTCTGGCTGCACTAGCACGTGGTTGTCAGTGCTGTGTCCCTTAGTAGCCCAGATTTGAATTTAAGGCAAGATGTCTGTGTGGAAAGGGGAAAAATTTTCATGGAAGCAAAAGAAATTTCAACCCAAACCCCACAAATCCAAATGGATAGGCCTGGGAGCATCTGGAGAGTAGGGGAAGCCCTGGCTCAGCAATGCATTCAGAGCTGATTGGAAAAGAGGGTGGCTGGAAGGAGAAACTGCACAGACTTGGCTTTGAAAAGGGCAACATTAACATCTCTTTGGGCTGGCTTTGCTTGGTCATAGGGTGGAAGAAAAGGGGTTTGGGAGGGTTAAGGGAATACATCCAATAGATAGTAATGTTTGGGGGCCTGGGAAAAAGGGTGGGTGAGATGCAGCTGTGTATGTGTGAAGGAAAAGGAGAGCCCTACAAAAAGGTGCTGCAGGAGCTCAGCTGTAAAGGCTTAAAGGGGTGTTAGAATAGCCTAAGGGGATTTTATAGAACAGTGGCTCCTTGAGGAGAGGGAGTCCCTTCACTGGGGCACTTCACACAGCATGCAGAGCTGAAGTGAGGGCTGTGCAGGCAGTGGGGGTCCGGTGCTGTCCGAGTGAAATCCTGTTTGCTGACCTGGATGAAATAATAAAATATGAAAACCTGTTTCTGGTGTGTGAGGTTGTATAATTCATGAATAGCCTCCCTCATTTCTTTCAGGACAATTGGGAATGCATACTGTGCTTTCCAGCTTCCTTTCCCATGTGGTCATGTGCTGAGGGCTGTAGGGGCTGTCTTATCCAAGGCTTCCCAGCCCTGCCTGGCTCCTGCTGGATGTGATATGGGAATTTATGTGGTCAGGCAGCGCCAGGGCTGTAGAGGAAGAGCATGGGTGAGTGATACAGTGGATGCTCCCCTGAGGGCTAAGCTCTTCTCTTCCTGGCTGGGATCACTGCTTATGCCCTGCTGCGGTCCCAGTTGCATGACAAAAGTTTGTTTCTCTGCGCTAACTCAGAAGTAAGTTTAAGCCTTGTTGAGTGGTGTGCTGGTGTTTTCCTCTCACCTTAGGCCCAGCTCTGATTGAGACTTGTGAGCTGTTGGTGTGACTGTTCCCCCAACTTCTTGCTCACTAGAACCACATACTGAGGAGGACACCATTCAGCAGCTGTCACAGAGAGCTTTGACTAGGGCAACATTAACATCTCTTTCTGGTCAAAACTAAAGCTCTTGATGTATTTCAACATAAATGGGGTTTCTTAGCAGTGTTGTGTCCTACAGCCAGCCCCCACATGGGCTGGTGTGCCGCCGGAGCTTTCCCTCTTGTGCCAAGATTCAAAGTCCTCAGTGTTGAGAGCTGTTACCTGCTTCTTCTCAGCTATCTTGCACAGCATTTCAGCAAGCACCTGGAAGCACAGGGCAGTGGGGGAGGCTGGTTGGGTTGAGCCAGGCTCTCTGGGGACCTTTTTAATGCCCCCTCCCTGAGAGGGTGTGTGCTGAAGCACAAATCTGTGCCCTCAGATATATGGCTGCATTTGCGTCTGTGTTCCCCTCCCTCAGAGCTGACAGAAGCAACATGCTCTGCTTGCTGAAAAATAAACATTTATTTACATCTGAAAAGAGCGTTAATGTGTAAAATTGGCTCAGAGGGGTTACAAGGAGCCAGGAACACCCGTGCATGCCTCAGGCCCAGATGAGCTGGGCGCAGACTCTTTCCTTCCTGGGTTCAAGGCCACCTTCCTTGAGATGCTGCATCTGCAGAAGGCTCTGTCCCAGGCTGAGAGCAGAGGTGGCTGGAGATGTCGAGGCCCCTGTATCCATGCATTGAAGAGCAAGAGCTGCTTCCTCCCTCCCAGAGCAGACTTTTCCCAAGGTAAAGCATCATGCGGTACAACGACAGACTCAGCAGCATGAAGGGGCAAGAGCAAGAGGGTCGGGGGATAGCATCTGAGCTGCTCTGCTCCCATGGGAGCAGAGTGCCAGTGCCAGGAAAGGAGCTGTAAGCCAGGTGCATGCAGCACTATTCAAACAACACAGCCTCGATGTTTCACTTGCAAAGGCAGAGGTGTAGGTGCTCCTTGGTGCCCTGGGGTCACTCAGCAAGAGGCAGCAGTTGCAGCTTTGGCACCCTACTAGGAAGCAAACATCCCAAATGCCAGCTGTTGCACATCTGTACTTGGGGACACCAGCCTTTTGCCAGCAAAACTGTCCCTGAGCCAAGTGTGGCTCCTACCCGGGCTTCTTGGCTCTCCCTGCTGCAGAGTTGGTGCTGAACTTGGTGCTGGGTCCATCACACTCCCGTGTGATGTTCCCGTTACTGAGGGAGCAGCTGCACTGCCCTTCATGTGCAGAGTGAATGCATTCCAAGTGCTCAAGCACTGCAGGAAGCTACAGGAGTGCAGCTGCTGTGGCTCTGTTTGCTGCAAGGAGTCTTGGGGAATCTGCTGCAGGAGGAGCTCAGAGGAAGGACCCTCGAGGTGCAGATCTGTGCTGCTGGAGAGCTGATGCCATGATCTGTACCGGGTGTGAGCAGCGTGAGAAGGTGCAGCAGAAGCATCTCTCTACAGGGAACTGTGCAGGATAGCTCTGGGATGGATGTCTGGGAGCTCTTGGTGTGCTGAAGAAATGGTCTTTAGGGCAAGGAGAGCAGGAAGGTGGTGTCCTGGATGGGAACAGTGCTGGCACAGCCCCGAGTGCAGCAGGAGGTGCTGGTTCACCAGGCAAGGGGTGCGGATCTGTGTCAGCAGTGCCTGGCTGAGCAGCATCTCCCATTCCCCGCTGCTTGTTCTCTGCTGTTGGACAGGCTCCTCTCTAGCAGCCACAATCCCCTTCTAGAGGTGCCCAAGTTGGTGCAGATGGGAAGGGAGCTTCATGAACACCTCTGGTGGGTGCCAGTAGAGCTAGCTGATGGTAGGAAGGAGCAGCATCCCCCATGCAGCTCACCAAGCGAGGTGAGGCTCTTCTGAGGGAGCAGCCAAGGGCACCTGCCTCACTTTGGACCACAGAAGGGGAACAACCCCCCAGCAGCTCCAGTGCTCTCAGGTGGGGCACAGCAGAGATACTGGTCCCAGCATGGCCATCCAGAAGTGCTGCCCTCCCGCCGGGTCCCTGCACCCACCACATCCCTCTCCCTGGCTCTGCAGGGCCGGGTGCCACATCACTGGGCACAGCAGAGCACCGAGTGGTCGAGCTTCCAGAGCTGCCACTTCTTCTTCATCTCTGACTTTACCTGTCACAGACAGGAGTGAGCAGGGGCTTTGCCCTGGCTGTACCCTCCTGCAGCATGAGCAGCAAGGGCTGGGTTGGCAAAGCCTCTGGCCAAGGCAGGGCTGAGCCGTGCCCTGGGCAGGAGCTGCAGCAGGTACGTACCTCCTTGTTGGCAAAGCAGTAGAGCACAGCCACGAGGAAGCCCTGGAGGGTGAGCAGGGGAGGGGAGTGAGCCTCACTGGGGCTAAGATAGGTCTAGTTTCCCTAGACCACTTGTGGGCACTTCTGGGAGAAAGGTCTCCCTGCCACCACAGCCCCACAGAGCATGGGAGGCACCATCATGCACTCAATGACATGGCTGGAGGTCCCCATCCCTGAGGTTGGAGCACCATGGGGTGGGGATAACGTGCTGGAAGAGGGACCCCCCCAGCTCTTGCTGCATGGTGTACCCATGGCAGAGTAAAGGCTCCCACCTCACCTGGAAGGAGTTGAGGAAGAGGGTGAAGAACACCTTGATGTAGCGCAGGATGCCTGTGGTTTGCTCATCAGTGGCGAAGATGAAGACAACCTCGTGGATCCCAAAGAGGGGGATGAGGGTGAGCGTGGCTTTGGCCAGCCTGAAAGAATAAGGGGACTCCTCTAGCAGAGAGTACTGAAGTGCTGAGGCACTAATACGGTCAGGGACAAGCTCTTTGGTGATCTCAGGGTGGCTGTTTCATGATGTGCAGGACGGTGGTGCAGGGTAGGGGTGGATGGGGAGGTGGAGGTGGTGTAGGAGGCGGCAGGAGGACCCATGACCCTCCCAGCTCACCGCAGCTTGTAGTCTGCATAGCCCTTCTGGTTGGCCCGGAGCTTGGCCAGGATCACCTTGAGGATCCGCATGAAGATCAGCAGGTTGATCTGCAGGAGGAGGCAGTGCAGGGGCCCACACAGCCCAGCACCCTGCACACCTGAGCACTCTGCACACCCAGCATTCTGCATAGCGGGGCACAGCCCACCCTGACAATGATACACACCCTTGGGTGCTGTGGGAGATGACACTCTCCCGTACTGCTAAGGCTGCTGCAGCCCAGCAGCACTGGGTCCCCAGAGCTTCCTCCCCTCCCACCATCCCAAAATCCTGACTGGGAAGCATCAGGGGCCACACCCAGCCCCATTCTGTGGGGCTCAGCACAACCACCCCTCCATGGACTCTCGGAACTCGTGCATTAGCAAGCTGGTGCACAAAACAACCCGTGTGTTTAGCACGATGCCTTGGAGAACTGCTGCTCTTGGGAAAGCCATGGGGCCATGGTGCCCGTACCAGGGAGGCGAGCAGGATGGGGATGCGGATGATCCACCAGTAAGCCATATTTTCATTCAGTGCCCAGCACCTGTGCAGGGATACAGGGAGAGCAGCACCATCACACCATGCGTGAGGGCAGGATGAGGCCAAGAGCATGCCAGCCCCAGCTCAATGGGTCAGGGACCCACAGCAACCTCTATCCCAGTGCCCATCCTGGGCTGAGCATCCCAACAGGACCCCCCCCATTCCTTGCCACTCACTCCGCATTCTCCTTTAGGTACTTGGCGGCTACCCAGGGCACCACGAACACCACGGGGGTCCCTGCAAGTCACACAGCAAACCCTGTAAAACCAAGCACCCGCCTGAGCTCAGAGACCAGTCCCGGGGCAGGGAGCACCGTGGGGACATCCAGGGTCAGCAGAGCCCCCTCCCTGCACCCTCCCAGGGCCACAACCCACACCGACCCCAGATCCTGCCGCCAGCCCCACTGCATGCCCGGGTGGCCCCTACCCCAGCCCAGGTAGAGGTAGAGCCTGTAGTAATTCTTCTCGGAGAAGACGGCCCCGATGAGCAGCTTGTAGAGGTAGACAGCTTCCACCAGGAACCAGTAGTGGTTGGCCAGGATGCAATACTGCATCAGCACCTGCGCAGCCCGGCAGCCCAGCGCCGCCTGTGAGGGGATACCCACCATGGGGCATCCCATGGGCTCATCCACGGGCACAAGCACCCCAAGAGCTCCGCATGGGCACCCCCTGAGCTCACTCAGCAGATTCTTGTGGCTGCTTGAGCACCAGCACCCGCTGCACACCTCTCCCTGGGGTGATCCCAGCCCAGCACCACGCAGGGACCCCATGGGGCAGCACTCACCTCGTGGCTCAGCAGAGCCTCCCAGTCAGCCACCTGCACCAGTTCCATGCCCCAGCGCCTCTCCAGGAGTGCGTCCTTCACCATCACCGAGGTGGCCCGCAGCCCAAAGGAGGCGAAGAGGTTGGCGTGGATGTAGTTTCTGGTGCAGTGGAGCTTCCTGCGGCAGTGAGAGTGTGGGGAGTACCCCTTAGCTCGGCCACCACTGGTGGGGAGGACAAGGGGCAGGACCATGTGCCCTGGGTCTCCTACCTGAAGACAGTGAGGACGAGCAGGGCAGAGACGAGGGTGAGGAGTGACAGCGAGTACCCCACGGTGTAGAGCACCTTGAAGCTCACCATCAGCCGGCGGGCGCCCTCCTGCAGGCCAGCACCACACTGATGAGCTGGGGCCAGCAGCACCGCGCTGCGTGCCTGGGCCAGGGCACCCACCTCCTCCACGGCGGCTGCTGTCTCCTCCTCACACTGTGAGTAGTCGCGCCACGGCTGGCTGCCGTTCACTGTCACCCACTGCCCGTCGGTGCCACACCTGCGGCTCACCAGCCCGTGCTTCACTGCGGACACCAACACCGCATTCCCCTCGTGTTCCCCCAAACCCCGCTCCTGGTATGGTAGGTCAGGTTCTACTCGGCCCCAAAGACCCTCTGCCAGGGCAGATGTGGCTCTGTTCCATGCCCCATGCATGCCCTCACACCCAGCTCTGCTGTGTGTCCCTCTTCCCCAAGCAGTGGACAAGAGGGAAAACCCCAGGAGCATCTTCCCACCTCCCAGCATACGCAGCCCTGGCTTCCAGCTCCAGGCCAGCAGAGGGTCATAGAAGCATAGCAATAATTAGGTTGGAAAGGACCTTTAAGGTCATCAAGTCCAAATGTTCCCCAGCACTATCAAGGCCATCACTAAACCATGTCACTGAGGGCCTTGTCTACACGGTTTGTGAACACTTCCAGGGATGGCAACTCCACCACTGCCCTGGGCAGCCTGCTCCAGTGCCTGAGCACTCTTTGGGGAAGGAATTGCTCCTAATATCCAGTCTAAATCTTCCCTGACACAGCCTGAGGCCTTTCCTCTTGTCCTACCCCTTGTTTCTTGGAAGAAGAGACTGACTGCCACCTCACTAAAACCTCCCTTCAGGTAATTGTAGAGTCATCATCACCTTTCTCAAACCAGGGCAGGTAAAAGGGGCAGGAGACGTTGACGGTGATGCCAGGGCTCCCGTCAGGCCAGCAGGCATACATGTCGAACGTCCGGTTGCAGAAGAGCCCTTCCAACAGCAGCAAGGGAGGAAAAGGCAGTGGTCAAATAGTGGTGGTACAGCCACATCCAGCCCTGACACCCCAGCCCACTGCCAGCACCTCTGAGAGGGCATCACCCTGAAAGGTCCCTGGTGCCCCACACCAGCCTCAGACCCCTTGGGACGTCCCAGTCCTGGGCAGCCCATCTGAGATGCGGTCAGTCCCCCAGCTCATTCCTCCACTGGTGACCAGCATAGGGGATGCTGGAGGAAGGATAAAACCTGGCCCCAGCCTCACTACCACCCGGCTCCACGTGCCCCCACATGTGACCTGAGCTGCTGCACAGCAGGTACCTGCCGGGTAGGGCTCGCTTGCCATCCTTCTCAAGCACTCATCACGGTACCGCATCCACTCCTCGAACGTCTTCTCCAGCACCTTGGCCCCACCTTGCTGCAAGCCCAAAGCTGGGTCAGAGCCTCTGGTGGCTCCCGAGGAGGCTGCAGGTATCCCCTCAGTGATTCCTGCCTCGACATGGGCAGGCACACACAGCCAAGCCAGGACCGAACCCGTTCACAATAGGTCAAAGTCGAGCAGTGCCAACCCTGCTGCCCCATGGGCCAGTCCCAGCTTGCCCCTTACCGGCATGGAGGAGAGCAGGCACATCCAGGCAAGATGGAAGAGGTTCTGCCGGTACCCAGGCCTGAGGACATCCCCCATGGCTGCCCCACTGGCAGGTGCTCCCAGTGCTGGGGCACGTCTTGGGCTTAGCTGGGGACCTGGATCCTGGGTAAGAGGGGGCGGACTGAGGGTGTGCAGAGGAGGAGATGTGCTCCCTGAGGCAGCAGAGTACCGGGCTGTGAGTGCCAGCTGCAGGCACGTCCTGGGCTGCCACAGCCCCGGTCACTTCCCCGCCGGAGCCAAAACCTCGGGGAGCACGAGGCAGAGGAGCTGGGGCACAACGGGATCCCACCTCTTGGCCGAGCTTCCACAGCACCGCTTCCAGCCCTGGGCCAGCGAGGGGCCAGGAAAGCAGAAGCCACCCCGGTGAGCGATGTGACAGCCCCTGTGCCACCGCTGCTCACCCCGGCATCCACGGGTGCCCTGTTGCCACCAAGCCCAGGGGAAGGCAAGGAGACCTCTCCGTGCTTCCCCCGCCCCGCTGCCTGCCCGCCAGGATGGGACCCTCCAAATCACCCTTCGGCCCCACTGCTGCTCTCACAGAACACCCCGCAGCCCTAGCCGGCGCTCCGGGGGGAGAAGCAGCCCAGGTCGCCCCGCGGCTCCCCGGCCGGCACTGACCCCCACGGGCTGTGTCCGCCCGTGCTCCGCGTAGAGCGGATGCTCCCCGGTCCCGCTAAGTGCCCGCGGGGCTCCCCCTCCTCCCGGGCTGCTCTTACCCTGCGCGGCGGCGGCTCCGCAGCCCCGGTGTTACCGGTAGCCCCGATGTCACCGGCAGCCCCGGTGTGTGTTACCGGTAGTCCCGATGTCACCGGCCGCCCCGGTGTGTGTCACCGGCAGCCCCGGTGTGTGTTACCGGTAGCCCCGATGTCACCGGCAGCCCCGGTGTGTGTCACCGGCAGCCCCGGCTCCGCTACCTCAGCGCGGCGGCAAGCGAGCTGCTTCTGCACCGCGGCCGCCTCCCGCCAGCGCCGAGCTCCGACGGGGGGGCGGGAGGGGGCGGTGCCGCCTCCCGGGGCTCGGGCCGCCCCGACGGGCCCCGGGGGTCGCGGTCTCCCGTCCCGCGGAGCTCCGGCACAGCCCCGCAGAGCCCCCGGTGCAACGCCCGGGGACGGGGATGAGGGTCCAGGTCCAGCCCGGGACGCTCGGGGATGGGCGTCCAGCCCTGCCCAGGGTTACATCACACGGGGACAGGGATGTGTTGCAGCCCTCAGACTGTGAGTCACGGGGATGGGAACGTGGGTCCAGACCCTCTGCTTCTCTGCCTGCTCTCCAAGAGCCTCCCCCGCCCCCCCGCCCCGCAGTGCAGCCCTAGGGAAAGTCATGGGGGTCCTTTACCTCCCAGGCTAGGTGCCGCTATGGCTCTCCCCTGCGCTGGCTGCTGTGGTGCAGTCCCTCACCATGCAGAGCCCAGGGTGGGCTGCTTGGGAACACTGACCCCAGGATGATGCTGGATCCAGCACAGGGACACAGCCCATGACACTGGTCACATCACCCAGCCCCAAGCCGTGGGACAAACCTGGTGAAGCAGGGCGGTCTGTGCTGACCCACCAAACCAGGGGAACACCATCGTGGCACTGGTGTTTTCCTATCACTGGAGCGTGCAGAGGAGATTAAAAGGGTGTCTGAGCCCTCCCTGAAAGCCCCTGGGGACCTCCCAAAGAACAGCAGTGGAACCCCTCTGGGTTTCATCCCTTTGCCCCGGCTGGAGGATGTGCCTGGAGCCACCATGTGCTGGGAAGCTGACACTGGCCCTGTCCTGCACTGGGATGCCAGGTTTACTTTACTCTAAAACTGCTGCTGGCTGCATGCATCAGAACATGCTTTTATTTTGTGAAAATATGTTTGTCCCAAAACTATTCCAGTGGGCTGGGAGCACACAGTGATTGAGGTGGGTGAGGAGCTGCATCTGTCGCTCCAGTGGATGAGAGGTGGCTGGTTATTTCAAGTGACAAAACCTGCCAGTGGAGCAGCCTGTGGTGATGTTCTGCTGTTTTGGGAAGTTGAATCTTTGGGTGCCTTTCTCAGCATGAGCTGACAGTGGGGTCTTCCTGGGGCCTCTCTACCCTGTGTGTTCACTTGTGAGCAGATTAGAGCAAGTCTGCTCAATGTATGCAGATGGAAAGCTGAAAATGATGTGATTGAGATGGAAAGGGTGGAGGTGAAGGGGAGGTGAGCAGTGGGACAGCGCTGGAGGGTGAGTTGGACCCTTGCACAGCTCTGAGCATCACTGTGGTGTGAGGACTTCAGTTTCATGTACAGGGAGTGGGTCCTTCCACCCCCATGGCTTTTCCTGCCTGGGAAGTGAATCTGCAAAACAGCCATGAGCTCCTGTGGCTCTTCACCTCCCTTCAGGGGCTCCCCTGGGTGTCCTGGGGCAGCAGGTGCCTGTGCCCCAGCTGCACACTGGTGTGCTTTCAGCAGTACTGGTTCATACTGGGAGGCTGGGGCTGGTGCTGCATCCCCCCTGCAAACCCACCGTGGTGCCAGGAGCTGCCCCGCTGGTGCACGTGGAGGGTCTGCCACCCTGCCAGCAAGGGGCAGGCACCAGGAGCTGCCAGGTAGGTGCAGGCAGGGAGCGCACCTCTGGTGTTCCTAATGGGACTGGGAGCATAAAGTAGTTTTGCGGCAGGATTTGAGCAGCCTCTGCATGAGGACAGCACGTAACACACAAGCATCAGCAGCCAGCACAGTGGGGATGCTGCTGTGCTTGCCTTGGAGCACTGGGGTGCTGGGGAACCCTCCAGTGTTGCCCCATGGTGGGCAGAGTTTATGCTGGGGGTGGGCCATGAGCTGGGGCGGGGGGGACGGGACATGACCCCCAGGCTGTGTGGATGCAGACCTGTGTGATCCCCCCCCTTCAGGGGCAGCTGTGAGCTGTGTCCATCTGTGTCAAGGCAGAAGGCAAGCTTCTCCCACCGAAAATCACCAGGAGCTGGGATAGCAGTGATGGTGAGAACTCTGTCTGGGAGGGCAAAGACAGGGGTGGGTGCTGGAGAGATACCAAGGGTGGCAATGTTTCCATCAGCACTGACTGATATGATTCTTGAAGGGTGAGGCCACAACCTGCTGAGTACCAGCATGAGGCTGGGGTGACACCAAGGTTGGTTTGAGCCTGGCAGGTTATGGAAACACCCAGGCAGATGGTAGCACCATAGCCCTGGGCCAGCGCTGCAGGCTCTGGTGAGGGAGCTGGGCTGGTAACTCCTAATAAAGAGCCCCAGACACAACGTACTTAACCCTTTGCAGGATGTTTCTAGGTGGACCAGTGCATCAGGGTCCCTGGTTGGAGGCTCAAGGAAGGGCAGGCTGAGTGGGTAGGGGGCTCAGGACCCCCATCCAGGGACCTCGTGCCTTCAGGGAATGAGGAGGTACAGGCAGAGCTTGCAGGAGGATGTTTGTCTGTGGCACTGAAGATTGAGGTCTGGCTGAAGGACAGGGGCTGTGGGAAGCGCTGGCTGGCCCAAGCCTCAGAGTAAGGTGGGAAAATGATGGCTGGGGGCAGCTGGTATCCCACAGGAGTGATACCACCGAGATTAGGACAGAGCAACACCACTGGGGTGGGATGCTTTTAGGGTAATCCTGGCTAGCAGGGTCCTCAGGAAGTTTCTGGTCCAACCACAGTCACAGCAGGGCCAGCTTAAAGGTCAGACCTGGCCCAGGGCGTTACTCACCCTGGTCTTGACAGTCACTGAGGATGGAGATGGGAGATAGAGCACAATCAAAATCTCTAAAGGCTCCAGGCAGCAGATGGCCTGAAAGAAGAGGGTTTCTCTGCACTATCATCACCACGCACATGGGACAGGGCACAGCCCAGTGTGGTGTTTGGGCACAGGGAAACCTGTAAGCCATGGGGAGTGCTGAGAAACAAGCACGTGCACTTGCAGGCACCTTTAGCTGGTGCAGACAGACATGCTCTCCCCCTGAAACAACCTCTGGAAGAAGATGCAACAACTATTAACACAAAGAGTAGTTGGCATCACTCAGTATCCCTAATGATGGTCAAATAGTGGAGAGGGATGGGGATGAGGAGGAAATGTCACCTGAGCCATGCTGCTGAAGCAGCTTCTCTGGAGATTTTGTGGTTTTCCTCCTTGGTGGACAGTTACCTGTTTTCCAGAGTGGCACATCTTTCCACATAAGGGTATAATTCCCAAATAGCTCCTGAAGACCAACTTTGCTGGAAGACATGGAATCTCCTGCAGCACATGTGGAGGCAAAGAGGGATGAGGACCTGATCCCTTCCCGATCCCACCCATACCAACAGGCCAGGGCTGCCCCTTGCAGATGGTGGCACTTGAACTTTGTTGCTGTGGTCCCCCCTTCCCATCAGCAGCAGAGCGGGACCCACCGAAGCTCGGCAGCTCACTGCAGCCTGAGCTCTGGATGGTCTCGCCCTGACCCTGCTTGCAGCCTGTCTCCTCACCTCTGGCTCCAGGTAAAGAACTCCCTGTCTTGCCCTACCGTGGCAGGCAGCGGGCTGGCTGTGTCTCGGCTCTTTGGGCTGACGCTGCCGCGTGGTGGCTTTAGTGTCCTGTGTGCTGCTGTGTGCTGACCTCTGCAAGGGGATGTGGAGCGGGGAGGATGCTCAGAAAGCTCCTGTACAAAGCTTCCTGAAGGGATATGGAGTCCTATCCCGAGGGGAATTGTCTGAGGGGCTCCTTTGCTGCTCCCACATGTCACCCTGCCATGGAGCTGGAGCTGATTCCAGCTCTCTCAGGGTTGCATCCTGTCCCACACAGCCATAACATGGTCTTGGGGCACCGTAGAGGATGCTTGCACCAATATCCCCCTTCCCAGACCTGGGCACCCTATGGCTTTGCTCTACAGACCTCCCTGTGTGAACCCTTCTATTGCCAGCAGGACCATGGGGTGGGCTCGTCTCATAGTGATGCTGAATTTGGAAGACAGCCCAGGGCTCCAGCATGCAGGTATGTGAGCTGGAGCTGCAGTTCCCCAGAGAGGGACCACAGACTTTCTGGCATCACTGTCTGGTGTGGTCTCTTTGGGCTCTGAGGTGTCAGCAGGGACCACACCAGGGTGGAGAGTCCATCTGGAGGTGATGTGCTCACTGATCCTTTGAATGGGGACATGAGGAGCAAGCTGTTCCTCTCCATATTGATGCCTCTTAGGCAGAGTCTCCATAGCGACTGCAGCACTTGTGGCTCAGCTGGGGCTGCATTCTTACCTGTGGGGTGCTGCAG